TATATATATATATATATATATTAATTGATTAATTAGTTATTTTGTATTTACTACATAAAAATAAAAATAAGAAAAGTATATGACATTTTTCTTCAGTGATATACATAGTATTATATGTATATTTTTCATTTATTATTTTGTCATATTTAGTTCATATTTACTTGATACTTTTGTATACGCCTATGTCAAACATGTCCAAACGCCGGTTCCGGAGCCAAAGTGGAGAGCGAGAATTTCCCCCTCTCCAGATGCTCGCCGCTCGACTGTCAGCGCGAGGTGCAGTGCGGGGAAAAGAGCCGCCGATCCCTACTATCGAAGTCTCGTGTTCCTCCCTTGCACCTCACTAACAAGTGAAAAGCCTGATCGAACAGTGAAGGAGTATAGAGTAACCCGAAACTGTTCTTACGACCTTTGTATTAAACTGGATGATCTGTTTATAAACATAACTATTTCTTTGCACGGTAGTCGGAGCGTATGTCGTGACTAGTGTGGGGAGCGCTGAGAGGGATATGATATCTCGCACGACGTCGGAGAAAGGGAAGGCTCCTAGTGTTACTCCCCAGGCGTTGGACATGTCTGGCCTATGTCTTCTCGGACATTATATTGTAGCCTTGCGACGAAATTTCAGTCGAGGAAACAAGCGCAAACATCGTTTGTTTACTAACAAAACAATCCGATCACATGTATGTACACCTGTAGCGGGATTCTGTAACTTTAACGATGTCGTTATGGTATCGTTGCGCAGGTTTTTTGTATCATGTAATAGCTGCGCAACGATACCATAACGACATCGTTAACATTACAGAATCCCGTTACTGGTCACACTAATGCCTTAACACATGAACTTGTACAGGTGTCAAGGCATATCGAGTCGGCGTGTTCCGACTCTACATATTTTTACATCATAACTAGTTATAAACGTAGCGGCAATGCTGTTTTGGCTGTTTCAAAGCAACTAGAACAATTGACAAGTAAAGGTTAATATTTATAATATTTATATTTATAATCAATATTTATTGATGGTTTAATATTTATAATATTTATATTTATATAAATATTTATTGTTGGTGGAAAACGAGCAATATGTATACTAAATGATAAAGAAAAATGTAATTATTTATCAAAATAATAGGAACTTAGAATAATAGGAACTGTAGATATTCGAAAAACGGATACGTCAAACTATGAACTGTCAATTATATTTTCCCGCTCTGAGACAGCGTTGCCGTTTTTTGAATATCTACAGTTATAATGCACGAATATTGAAAGATGAAGCACGCATGTCCGGTATGCTTGACTTGTCCGACGAGACGCATGTAACTTCATGTGAGAAGGCATTTCTGTCCCCGTGTGTACACAGACCACACGTCAGTGTAGTGAGTTACCACAAACAAATGCGTACACACGGACCTACACGGCATAGGTCAGTGCCAAGATCTATAGAGAGAAGGTTACCTCATGCGCAAAGAGGGACGAGCGGCAAAAGGGGCAAATGCAGAGAGAGGCGAGCGGCAAGAGGGGCAATGGTGATCTCATCGGCAAACAGAAGCTATCTCAGACAGCTACTGTTTGTCGATGAGATCATCATGCTCTCCCCTTCCTTCATCGCCCCTCGCCATCAAGCTGTTTCTAGCTCCCCCCTTCCTTCATCGCTCTTCGCCAACAAGCTGTTTCTAGCTCCCCCCTTACTTCATCGTCCCTCAACCTCGCCCTCAACCGGTTTTACTGAGGTTACCTTCTCTCTATAGATCTTGGGT